AATTTTAATATGATTGTTGCATGCCTACATACACCCACGAGTATACTAACTCCTAAGATATATATAGTTCAATATATACCGATATAATATATAAAGTTTAATTTTAATGATGTGAGAATTATTGAGATCATAACCATAGATTCGAAACTATGTCAATAATTTTCAATTTTAAAACGATTCTCGTAAAAATATCGAAATATAAAGGTTGGAAAATGTGTTGTGAGTTCATGTATTGTTTTTTTAAATCAGGTTTTTTTGGTAAATAAGTTTTTTTTATTCGATCTGTTTCAAAAAAAAAGAAAAGAACAATAAGAAAAATTGATGTTAAAGTTAAAATAAATAAAAAAGACAGATTAGACAGACTGCAGAAGCTTCTCAGCGGAGGTACCGACTACGACACAGTAAAGAATTTTGTTGGGTTAGTAGGTCACAACACTATACTGTCTTTTAAGTAAAAAAAAAAATCAGATTTTTAACACAAATACRTCTATTATAGCTTATACTGTAATACTATACACTTGAAAGAAGTTCACTAATCATGAATGAATATAGACCAATCATTGGTAAACTTCTCACTCACCAATACAATAATATTACTCTAAACACTACATATACTTAGGAAGATAGTTAATCTCRTGTACACTATACCGACTATGCAAGGAATAATTTTTAAAATTTACTAATATATAAGTTGCAATTTTTGATGATAACTTTCAAACTAATTATATCCTCTCAAAATGATCAACCCGACACAGTGAACTAAAGACGTCTACAAATGTAAATTGAGAGACAAAAATTTAGTACTCACATCCTTTCAAGTCTTTTGAAACGTTAAATTCATCTTTAAATATCTCTAATATACAGTTATACGTAYTTTATTATTATTATGTACTTACTTTTATAACTGTCAATATTCTGATTGTGAACGAATAACGCTCTGTGTCAACGATCGTAATATCATTTTTCACTTGAATATCTCCAAAGACTAATTTTTCATTGCTATTTGGGAAATATTTGCAGCATTTTATCTAAATAATTTAATTTATATACTAAAAATCACGTTACTTTGGCTTATACTTTATATTAAGGGTTTCGGTGTTGGTTTTCCATTTTTTTCACAATTCTAAACATTTTGGAAATCATATTTTATATTTTAGTTGTTGCCTTAATAATTATAATATTTTTCCTATCTTCAGTTCGATAGATATTTAGGTGTGCTTGATACGGTGTATTATATCAATAAAAATTACTTCACGAAAATAACTCTCACGCGTCTGTCTCGTTGATTTGTCGGATTTTGATAATTTTTTTACTATCTGAAAGATTAAAACTTATTCAGATCGGATCAAACCTCAAATTTTTATTTTTATTTAAAAAGTACTAGAAAAATACATTTGAAAAATAACAAATATTGCGAATTATTCAAATGTATATTTAAGTTTCTTTCATTAAAATGTTGAAAATCGGGCTTTAAACGACCCTTAAAATGTTCTATTTTTTAAATTAAAAAAAATTAACAAAATCCGACTATTCTAGAGAATATAAGAGTTTTTATTGTTACACATGTTTTTGTACTTAAAACTGGTGGAGCCAGTTCAAAAAATTATAAATTATTCAAATGTTACCAATAACACATTTAAATTATAGAAAATACTTTTGAATTTCACAGATCAAATATTAAGATTCACAATAGTATCATAATAAGATTATTTTACTTACGATTTATTATCAAAACATTATACAAATCACAATAGATATACTTTGTTTGACAAATAATAGTGAAACTTTATATATGTCATTATGGTATATTATTTTAATCCAATGGACAGAAGTCAGAGTTRACAACTTTAAAATTTGAGGACTTGACCATGTTGGTTATACATTATACAAAAAAGCATATTGGTGAAGTGGCATACAATTATAGATGGCAGTTATGGCAGTTACGTAGCCAAGGATGGTTTAGTGTTGTAATTACTCCCTCCTCGCTATTGTCATGTTTATATTTTAATACTTAATCATTATAACAGTTCAATATTATTAACTTTTAATATATAAATTATATTCATGTAAATACCATGGTCAATCTCCCACCCCAAACAATTTATAAATCCTGACGCCATCGCTATTAATATAGATGATAGATATTACTAATATGGTGGACTCCATCGCCAGAATTAAAATACGTTTACGACTAATATATAAATAAATTTGTTAGAATAACGTTTTACTCCACCTTTTCTTTTTCACTGATTTGACATAGCATAACAATCGAAGCCACGTCTTGATCCAAAATCATTTGCCACATATCAACGCAAGTATTTTTCAAGGGACCTTGGCATGCTATATATTGGCGATTACCCCTAGAATC